CAGGTCAAACTACTGTTGGCACTTGGGCAATGAGCGTTTGGACCTGGAAGAACATTCCTTTAGACTCTTGACCTTTGTGTCCAGGCTGGTGGGCAACTGGGAAGGGAACTAGGAGATGCCCATCTCTGCGGGGGCTGCAGGCAGCTATGACGGAGCTTCTGAGGTCAGAACCTTGACGATGAATGTCAGTGAGCAGAAGGACAGCGAAGCATCAGGATGTCCTGAGTGACTGACCGCTGTCACCATCTCTGTGTCCGGCTCTTCAGGGTGGACTGTGGGTCCTGCCAGTCAGCACAGAAGAGGATGAGATGTCTGACAGGGGCAGGCCCGATGCCCCAGCTCCTCAGGGCCATTGCTCTATTCCGTGTGGGAGCAGCATCCATCTTTAAAGACATTCACCTGTTTACCTAGTTCTTCCAGAATGATGCATTTTCCTATACCTTGCTAGCATACACAGTAAAGATAAGCAAACATAAATGCTAGAAACCACTCCAAAACCCATTTCCATGAGTAACTATTGGTCTCACTTTGTTTCATTTCTTGTGCTTGCACATACACTTCTCTCTCTCCAAAGTGAAAGTCTCTTGAATAAACTTGTCACCCATTTTTTTCACTTCGAAGTATATTTTGATCAGTTTCTCAGGCTGTTAAGTGTACTTCTACAATGTGTTTTTTTTAATGGCACACATGTGTGTAACAGGCCGAGGGCACCATTTAGTTCCTTTCACCCGCAGGACCCTTGCTATGCCTTCAGATGCTTTTCTATATGTCACTACAGAATCGAAAACAAGGATTTGACAAGCACATTGGTGCTGAGACAGTCCTCGGTGAAGCTCTGGCCCTGCCTTTCCAGGGAAGCTGTGTGATGAGCAGGCTGGGGAGGCGTGTGTCTCCCTGGGGAGCAGGGGTGAGTGTGTAAGGACCATGCTCCTTACGGGTGTGTATGTGCAGGTGTGGCCTCTGCATTGCTGGTGGGGAGGGGCTTGGGGCACCCCGACAAGAAAAGCCCATCTTAGCATGAGGAGTCTCTGTCTCTGACCCAGAGTCTTAAGTCTCTACCCCCGTCCCGTGGGGCCGTGGCAGCCCCTCCAGTCTGCAAGGACAGCAGAAATTCATGGAAATGACCCATGTTCCAGGAGTGGTGGGAAGAGCCAGGGAAGCCCCAGCCCCTGCTGATTCATCTGGTTGAGACCCTCCATGTTCCCAAAGGCCTTCTCCATGGGGCTGGCAGGCAGCCTGATCCCCGACAGCCATCGTGCAGCCATGCAGCTGGTTGAGGGCAGCAGCCTCCCCCACCACCCCATCTCATCCCACCACTTCAGGTGGGCCCTGGTCCCCTGGGGCATCCTCCGAGCTGCCAGGAAGGTGCAGACTCTGCTGAGGCTGGTTCCAGAGAGGACTGAGTCACTGGCTCTGAGTCAGCGTTTGCTGTTTCCTGGAAAAATGTCAGGTGTCAGGCATCACTCCAAGCAGCCGTGAGCAAGAAGAAAGCGTGCCCAGAGGACGGGCTTGTGTGCCATTACGTCAAGAGCCTCGCACACCCACCTGCTCTCGCATCCGGGGAACACGCTCTGCAGGGGGAGGGACCTTTGCGTGGGACCCTCTGCCTTCCTCCCCACCAGTGTCAAGGACAGGAAGCCCCCGCCCTGCCCTCGGGAGCTCACTCTCCGACAGGGCACGTGGCTGTGAGTAGCACAAGGCCGCCTGTGTTGCCCTGTGGGATGGAGGCCCAGGGAGGTCCAGCGTCTGCCCCGGTGTCCTGCATCTTCCGGCCCTCATCTGGGCGACTGTGGGACTGTCTCCTCATCTGGATTCCCTGAAGAGCAAACTGGGCTCGTTCATGGGCAGGAAGGGGTTAAGTGGCCAGCGGGGACGCAGGGCTCTGGGAACAGGCGCCTTCCTGGGGCAGCAGAAGCATTCCAAGCACAGTGTTTTCTGTTCTAAATATGGACTTGGGAGACAGTTATTTTTAGGAAGCAAATGGTAATGATTAGAGTTTTAAGATTTAAGTAGTCATTTAGTCATAAAAGCTGAATTCACATGCTACAGAAAAATAGTCTTTTCCTTTGGTTGATGATAGGGTTCCTTCAAGTGCAGTAATTGTTCATCGCTTCATGAATGCTCCGCAGACAAGGGCCTGTGATTAGCCTCCACCCCAGGCTCCCTTGGAAGAGAAGGGAGACGGCTGGAGGTGGCTCTGTGCTGAGAAAGGAGGTGGTGAGCCTGCAGCCCAGGGCACAAGCCCACCCCAGCCTATGTCCCAGGATCCATGAGAGTTTGGGCTGCCTCATCTGCTGGCGAGGAGACAGTGCATCAGGGGCTCTGACTGGCCCTGTGCTGAGGCCATTCTGTCCACACACAGGGTGACCTGACAGTGGGGGACACCTGGCACTGACCTGCAGGTGTAAGCCGGAAGACGGCGGACAAGGAGCCTGGGTGATGTCAGAAGTCCCCGCCAGGGCTCCTGGAGGGAGGCCTGTGGGAGCTTGGCCAGTCCCTTGAGTCAAAGGAGGGCCCAGGGCCGGGCAGCCTCCTGGGGGAGCAGAACCTGAGGGGCCCCACCCTCCTGGGCCTGCCTCCTTGAGGCTCCTGAGGGTAGGAGAGAGGGCCGCGGGTTGCAGAGGGGCCCAGCTCTGGGTGTCCCCGACGTGCCTGCAGGGTCCCCAGGTAACTCTGTGGGCCTTGCATTCATGTCACCCCCATCCCTGTTTTATTCTGGATGAGATAGAAGTCAGTGTGTGTTTTCTCCACACAGGTCCCGTGTGTGAAAGCCTCTCATCTCCAGAAGGGCAGGAGCTGTGTAAACATATGCACAGCCACGAGCCCCCCAGGGGGGCTTGCACCCTACTACACTCTGCCTTAGGGAGGGGTCACCTGTGATGTCAGAACTGGGATGACACCAACTGAACCAGAGGATACGGCCCAACACGGAGATGCTGAGGGGTGGGGCGGAGCACAGCCTCCTTCAGGCAGGTCTCCTGCAGCTGGGCCTCACCTCACATAGGGACCCAGGATGGAGGCACAGAGCTGGGAGCAGACAGAGACTCGGGGCAGCCCTGGCAGAGACCTGACGACCATCCAAGCAACCACTGCAGGCCTGAGAGGCAAGGCCTCTGGAAGGTCATCTGGAGGTCTCTCCACCCAGATCAGGCACAGTCCAAACACCGGGACCTGAGTTCTGGGGCAACCCCTGGGGCATCACAGCAGGTGACAAATGGCATGGTGACCTGGACACTGGGACCCCTCCCTCAGGCCCCTCCCCTGGGTCACCCCAGAGCCCCCTCCCTCAGACCCTCATCTGGGTCACCCCAGAACCTCCTCCCTCGGGGTCCTCACTGGGTCACCCCAGTGCCCCTCCCTCAGACCCCTCCCCTGGGTCACCCCAGAGCCCCTCCCTCAGACTCCTCACCTGGGTCACCCCAGTGCTCCCTCCCTCTGTCTCTCACCTGGGTCACCCCAGAGCCCCTCCCTCAGACCCCTCACCCCCGGTCACCCCAGAGCCCCTCCCTCAGACCCCTCACCTGGGTCACCCCAGTGCCCCCTCCCTCTGTCTCTCACCTGGGTCACCCCAGAGCCCCTCCCTCAGACCCCTCACCCTCGGTCACCCCAGAGCCCCTCCCTCAGGCCCCTCACCTGGGTCACCCCAGAGCCCCTCCCTCAGACCCCTCTCCTGTCTGTGGTCCAGGCCTCGGGAGCTGACACCCCATCATGCCTCCCGGTCTCCCGGCGAGTACAGTGGTGCTAGTCCCAGGTGGGCTGCTGCTACCTCTCCATCAGAGGGTCTCTTGGGTGCTGGCTGGACCCTGAAGGGGGAGGAGCAAGTGGAGGAAAGACTTAGGTGGGTCCTCACAGTGGCTTCATGGTTCTGGGCTGTGTAGGGGAAGCCTGCGTCTGCGGCTCTGGGCAGGACGGACACCTCTGCCCCACAACAGGCGTTTCCACCAGGAGGATCAAGGCCAACAGTGCCAGCCACCTGTCTGACCCTCAGCCTTGCACTGACACGCTGCGCAACTCTGAGGGACATCCTCCAGCTTTTTGGACCTCATCTGGAACCAAGGCACCTGCATTTGTAACATCATTGCTGATGAGCTGATCGGTGATCAAATGCCATTTTGTTGGTGAGGCGGCCAGCACAGGTGTCCTCGAGTGCTCAGCTCTCTCTGCACCAGCAGAGGTCTGGGCTCTTCGACCCCAGGGGCTCCCCCAGAGCCCTGGGGAGCTCCAGGGCCCCAAAATGATGATATTGGCTGGATTTGGCCCAAAGTGGTGTCCCCATCCCTCCTCTCCCAGTGGTTTTCTGGTCATCGGGGGACGTGCTGTAGGAATGCCCTCTGCTCTCTCACCCCCTGGAGTTCTGTGGGGTTTGAACCAGCCTGGCGGCAGCAGCAAGGACCAAATGGGAGCTGCCAGCATGGCTGGCTCTTTACGGGGCTGGGAGGGGAGAGGAAAGAGGAGGCCCTCGGTCCAGAGACCAGCTTCCCCCAGCCAATCTGCCCAAGCTGAGGGGAAACGGAAGGCTGATTGCAGAGGAAAGTCAGGGAGGGGCTCCTAGGGCTGCCAAGTCACAGGGACTGTTCAGGGTTAGTTAGGATTGCCAGAGCAAGTTACCTGCTTTCCTGAGCCTCTAAGCTCGTGGGTGAATCCCGAGCCCTAACCAAAGCCAATGCTGCGGGGTGGATGGAGGCAGGCAGGGAAGGAGCCCACGAGGCCAGGACTCCCTGCAGAAGCACAGAGAATAAGGCCACCACTCCTCTCGGGCTCACCCTGCGGGCTGCAGTGGGCCGTCTGGGGTCTCTGCTCAGCAGCAGGGACTTCTGCAGGCCTAGCCCCATACCTGGACTAAGCAGGTGCTCATGGTTTTGAGACAGCCTGAGGCCTGGGCCCCTCTGCCAGGGCACTCTCACATGGACAAATGTTTCCTGAGCAGCAGATGCAGAGAAACTGTGAGGGACAAATCAACTGGGTGCTTATGCAGTGAATCGTGAGCAACAGATACAAAAATGCTGAAAACCAATCTCCGCTTCCGAGGTTCTGGGAGCAAAAGCAGGGTCCTGCCGTTGATCCTTGTGAGCAGCACCTCCAGAGGGGAGGGGGAGGACCGCCTAAGCCACCCCTCAGGCCGCCCCTGGGCCAGCCCCCTGGGCCTACCCCCGCCCTCACCTTGTGAAGAACCAGATCGTACCCTGCTCCCCAGGAGGCTTGCAAGAGCATCTTGTCTTGTCCTTCCTCCTCCTGCTGTAGCAGGAGCCCCAGAAAAGACCTGCCCGAGTTCCACGTCTGGCCTCTTGTCAGTTTCTATTGATTAAAGAGTCCGAGGACCCTAGTCATAACAGAGTAGGCATTTTATTATGATGATCATATCCATTCAAGTCAGGTCTTTGTGGATAAGAATGGCACTTGTCATATCAACAAATAAACAATGCTGCAGCTGCCCTCAGCCATGTACCCTGAGGGGGCTCAGGACGGAGAAAAGTGGGGTGCTGGCCCCAGAGAGCTGAAAGTGAAAGTGAAGTCGCTCAGTCGTGTCCGACTCTTTGTGACCCCATGGGCTGTAGCCTACCAGGCTCCTCCATCCATGGGATTCTCCAGGCAAGAGTACTGGAGTGGGTTGCCATTTCCTTCTCCAGGGGATCTTCCCAACCCAGGGATCGAACCCGGGTCTCCTGCATTGTAGGCAGATGCTTTACTGTCTGAGACACCAGAGAAGCAGAAGAAGTGAAAGTGAAAAGGTTGGTAGGTTCCACTGAGACACGAACTCGGATCACTGGATTCAACCAAAGTGCTAACCATTATACCATGGAACCGTGCGTCCTGACCGCTGAGGAACCCGTGAAAGGAACCGTTCAACTGGACCAGACTCCCGCACCTGCCCACCCAGGGAGCAGCAGTAAGCTCGTTACCTTGTAGTGTCTGGTTTTCTATAACTAACAGCAATCTTCTGATGTTTGACCACCTGCTTTTGATGCAAAAGCTCCCACATACCCCGGCTCCCGCATCCCTCTTGCCTTTCCGGAGCAGCCCCTAAGAGCAACCAAGGGGCTGTCTTCACCAGCTTGAGGCCTCAGTGTGTCCCCAAATAAAACATAATACTCAACTTCTAGGTTGTACATTTTTTTCCAGTCAACATCTTGGAAGGAGTCTAGAGGTTGGAAATCAGGGACGGTCCCGCTGGGGGGGCACTCAGACCTGCAGGCAGGAAGTGTTCTGGGGGGGCCTGGAGAGGGTGCCGCGGCCTGACACAAGACTGTCTTGCTCGTGAGTGGGAACTCACTTGGGAAGAAGGTCTTTGCAGATGTGGTTAAGGGTCTGGTGCTGAGATCACCCCAGAGGTGCTGTCAGAGACAGGGGAAGAGACACAGGGCAGGCCCTGTGACCTTGGAGGTGACATCAGGTGGTGTGGCCACAAGCAGGGATGCCTGGGGCCCAGCCACCAGAGGAGTCAGAAAGGACCCTGGCTCCCAGGGGTCTCAGGGGAGCATGCACCTTAATCAGGACGGTCTCTAGGATGGGGGAGCACAGGCCCCGGGAGTGTAAGCTTATGGCTCCTGCGAGATGCAGACTGGACACTGGACTCGGGCTGGGGTGCTGGGCAGGACTGGCCTCTGGGGAGTGGCCACGGGCGTCTCACCGGGGGCCTCAGGGTCTTCTGGCCCTGACAGCTCTCGGGAAGCACGGCCTGGTGGCGCAGCCATTTCCGGGCAGCACTGTGCTGAGGTGGGACAATCTGCCATGCTACCTGGTGAAAAGGGTTCACCTGGCCAGGGGGTTTAGCCTCTGTATCCAAGGCAGGACCCACCCCCTAAGTCAGGACCGCTGGAATGTGGCATGTGCAGGGCACTGGCCTGGGGTCAGGAAGGGCAGTGAGTGTCCAGGGCAAACCCTGGCCCTCGGGCCACTCAGCCATTTGAGCCTCTGAATCCTTGTTAGGAAAACCACCCTCAGACGGAGCAGCGGTGTTGTATAAAATATGGGAACGCCGTGTTAGGGGCTCTTATACATTGGATTGCCTGAACGTAGTTGATTTCCATTTGAGAGGTTGGGTGCCGGTTTAAAACTGAGCCCCACCCAGGCTCACAGCTAATCCCAGGCATACCCCACCCACCTGCTGCAGGTCTGCCCTTCTGACCAGAACATGGTCCAGTCTGACTGGCCAGAAGATGCTGGGAAGTGCCGGAAAAGTCAGCTCATACAGCCTCTCCCTCGGGTAGAGAGAGGAGCTGCAGAGGCATGTGGGGGGTGCGTGGAGTGTGGTCTCTGCTGGAGCGCACAGGTGTGGTCTCGTGCGCCAGGCGCCCGGCCTTCTGAGAGGGCCACGTGTGCGTTTCCCTGTGGTGTGTGGTGATGAACGTGTGGTCATCATAGGGGTCTGGTGTCTGGCTGAAGCTGCAGTCCTGGGGGGCTTGGCTGGCGGGGAAGGCCTCGTTCAAGAACCCAGGGCGAGGCTGGGCTGTGCTTGGGTCCACTGGCTGCACTTTGGGCAGCCGGGCAGAAGGTGAGGCCCAGCTTCACTCTGAGACTTGGAATGTGGGTCCCTGCAATGCAGAGCACCAGGCTGGGAGGGAGGCGGCATGAGCACCATCCAGCCACAGGGACCCCACCCCTCCAAGGCCAGGCCAGACTGACATGGGCCAGTCTCCCTGTCGGTTCACAGCCTGCTGTCTGGAGGGATGAGGACCCACCACCCAGGTCTGGGCCAGAGCGAGGGTGGGGCTCCCTGCTCAGAACCTCGTCCTGCAGGCCCCTCCTGGCTCTGGACTTGGGGTCACAGACCTGTCCAGTTCTGGCCTGCTGACTTCTCCATGTACACTTGGGAGGCTCTTAGGGTCTCTGGGGTGGGCTCTGGGAGGATGCACGGGTCCACAGCTTCCTGTTGATGGGCAGCAGCTCCAACTAATCAGCTCCCTGGTGCCCAGCCACCGCCTGAGTCTACATGGTGCTTCTCCCTGGAAATGGAGCTCCTGAAAGTCTGGGCCCAGCTGCAAGGTTGTCCCTTTCTCAATTCGGAGCCATGGGCAGCTGCAGCTTGGGGGTCATGGGGTCACAGGCTCGCAGCAGCCCCACTGACCCCAGGAGCCCCTGCTAGGTTGGAGGGACTGTGGCAGGTCTGCATCATTGTTGAAGGCGCTGGCCCAGTCCTGCCCCACCCCCACCTTTGTTTCCAAAGGCACCTCCATGCGCCTCTCATGCTCCCGTCGGCCCGGTGATGCCCGCTCCCCAGAGAACCCCCTGTGGCAGGTGCCAGTGCCCGGGCCACGGGCAGGGGGCTTTTATTTCGCGGTTAGCGCTCGGGCAGGGGGCTTTTATTTCGCGGTTAGCGCTTTGAGAAGCAGCTTTGGTCAGCACGGGGACAGGACTGAAGAGGAGAGTCGGGAGCAAGCCAAGAAGCCGGGCTGGAGCTCAGGCCCCAGCACATAAGAGCCAAGAAGGGAAAGGAGGGAACCAAACATCGTAACAGTTTCACAGAGAAGGACGGATGTGTGGAGCAGAAAATGAAGAAGATGTGTTTTTTCAGATTGTTTGATGTTAAAGGTTGCAATTAACTTTGTAACGGCAGGGCAGCGGGGCTGTAGTCAACTTTATTCAGAACAGGAAAAAGGCCAGAGTGATGGTGAAGCCGATAACGGAAGAGTAAGAAAGTCTACTTCCTGCTCAGGACAATCAGCATAGGTGGGAGAGCTGGAAAAAACCACAGTCACAGGCAGGAAAGTCATGATAAGAATGCCAGGCGGCAGGGAGCAGAATTCATGTTTGAACCCGAAGAATGTCAGCAGAGAGACCCTGACGGGTGGGAAGTGCAGAGAGGGCCCTGCAGGCGGGGCGGCTGCAGAGGGTGCGGCGGGCGTGGCGGGCACAGGGCCCGGCCGGCTGGTCGGAGGGCGCGGCGGGCGCATGTGGGTTCAGATGGGGCCTCCATGGGGCCAGGCTGGGTGGAGGGGACGGGGTCCAGGGTAAGAACAAAGCAGTAACTTCAGGCTGGACCCAGGAGTCAGAGCTCGGGAGGTAGCTCTCCTTGTGCAGTTTCTGAGAACGCTGAATAAACCCTGGAAGACGGGCTGTCTGTAAGAAGGAAGAATTGAAGATTTAGAGAAAATCCATTGCCTCTGGGGCAGCTGTGGACAGTCTGTCCACTGTTCCACAGAACAGCAGAGTCGATGCACCCCAGAGCCTCCTGTGCGGAAACCGTGCTGGGCCGGGATCTTGTAGCCCCGAGACGGGGTCTCCCAAGCCAGCCCCCGGCCCGGTCCACCCTGCCAGGTCCGCACCAGGTCTGTGTCCTCGAGGAGGCCAGGTGGGTGCCCCTGAACCCAGCTCCTGGCTGTACCCCTCGCCAACAGCATGGGCCAGCCCGTGCTCCTCTGCCCTGAGACCCTGTGGAGTGGGGAGGTGACCTCCAGAGGCCCAGCTCCGGCCATCGAGGAGCCAGGCTCCCATCCCGCAGAGGTGACCTGGGAGAGGCCTTCCACACCAGAGCCCCCTGACGACACCCACCCCGCCAGCCTCGTGAGCAAGGGCCCAACTGAGCCCAGACTCCCAACACAGAAGTGCCTCTAGGTGGGGGGAGGTTGGAGACACAGACATGGAAAGTGAATGCAGGAGCAAAAGCCACACCGAACACACCCCAGAGGACCCCGAGACCCCGATTTCTGAAATCCTGTCGTATTTCTGTCACTCTTGGTTCACGCAGTTGCTCTCAGTTAGACCATGAGCACACAGTACTCTATAGGCCACTGGGGATGCTCAGGGCCTCCAATGCAGACCGAGCCTGGGTCCATCCACCCAGGAGGATCTAGACGCCTCATTTTAGTGACTGTATGTGTGCCCTCTGTCTGATAGGCTCACGTGGAGCTCTAGTCTGGAGTGAAGGGCCCTTGGCTCGGTCACCTGCTGGGTCCCAGGGTGGATCTCCCTCCCCAGCTCTGTCCAGCCCCCAAACTGCTAAAGACCTGGGCACGGAGCTGCCCCTCCTGGGTCTTGTTCTCGGCAGGCAGTGGGGCAGCCAGGAGCAGGCAGTCGCCCCTCCAGTGCTTGGGTGTTTGAGGTGGAGGCTGGCCATTTGGGGCCATGTGCCTAACTGGAAGGGCGACCATGAGGTCTCTGTGGGAAGGGGTGATCAGGTGAGGGTCCGGTTTGTGGAAGCTGCTGTGTGCCAGGCACTTGGCAGGTGCGGCGGGTGTGGGCAAGCTTGGAAACAAGGAGTGGCGAGTGGGGGACTGGCCAGAGCAGGGCCTCCAGCTGAAGGTTAAGTTCCCAGGAAGCAGCCAGGACAGACCCAGCGGGTCGTGGTTCTGCCCGGGGTCTGGTCTGC